AGGTTTCCAAGATCCCATGCCTGGGTAACTCAGCAAGAAGCATGTCACAAAACACAAAAAGGGGCGGGGCTGGGATTATACTCAGTGTGAAGACTCATCCCCAGTATCAGTCATCAATCACTGAATGCAGGCAAACACAGACATAGCTTTTGTGAGGAATCAGGGCCTAGTCAAAGAGAAAAGGAGCCTGGTAGGAAATGGCCATCGCAGCACTGGGCCCGGGCCATATCCTCAGTAGAATGGGCCTCGGAACTAGCCCTGCAGCCCTCAGGACCCATGGAATCATGACCACCACCACAACCACCACCACCAGAGCCCAGAGCAATGGTAGTCACACCATGATTACTGATTTCTTCAATTATAGATGTAGCAAATGGGCACCATTTCTGAGATCCCTAACGATTTTATCTCTTCTGTCCAAATGCCTTCCCTAGTATATTCCTTGAGAAACAGAGCAGGCAGGTTACTGCAGCATACCAGCTCACCCAGCTCTCCTGGCTCCTCTCTGGAAGTGCCTCAAATCCAAACACCCTTCCTCAGGAGAAAAGAGGAAAGACAGAAGACAAGAGATACACTGTCAACAAGAGGGGACTGGGCCAGCCAGACAGCTCAGCGCACTAAAGCACCTGCTTAGACAGAACAAAGTGAAGGGGGTTCGATCCCTGACATGCTGTGCCAGTCCCACCCCCAGGGCACACTGAGATGGCGACTGAGACAGGGCGTGGTGGCATGTGCCTGTGATCCCAGTGCTTGGGAGGTTGAAAACAGGAGGATCACTATAAGTCCCTTCTGTGTAGTGAGACCCTGTACTAAATATATATATATATAACCCACGAGAGCGGACATCCAGGCACCTCCACCCCAACACTCATCCAAAGTCTAACTCCAACTCCAAGCCAAACAACCTTTATCCAGAGAACTCTCAGGAGGGCTAAGGAGGCGGGAATGGGAGGGGAGGCAGTCAGGCTGGAACCTTCCTGACACTCAGTCCCCAGGCTGAGCAGCCAACGCTGCTGAACAATGCAGTTTTGAATTCAATTAAAGCGATTATCTGTTGTGCCAAATAAATTGTGTACAGCATATATCCTGCGGCACTTTACACCTCCGGGCTCATTATTCCCTAACTGTTTCCTCCTGTTTATGCGCTCTCAAATTAAATTGCTGATAATATGCGCCAAAATAAAAAATGAGCGCACCTTGTCCCAAGAAAATTGATTCTCCCTTCTCCTGAACTGGCGATTGCCAGGTTTTATATACTCTGTTCCTGGTGATCATTAGTAATTCAATTTTCTTTTTATTAGCCCCCTTATCTGCTGAGCAATATAGTGGCAGGGCTGACCTCTTTCGCACGGGTAAATGTTTAAAATCTTTTCCCTGATTAATTTTGCCAGTTAAGAAAAAGAGGAGAAATGGCCCGGCTCTTAGCCATCACAATGAATAAAGCTTAATGTTGATTGTGATGGAATTTCTAATGCCAGGGAAATTGATTGAACGCGGCAATTACACTGCAAGAGTAACTCGGGGGAGATGGGATCGCTTTCTCCTGGCCGTAGCCTTTTGGTTATTTAAAACAATCCAATTTGCAAGGATAATTATGTATTAGTGTTTTATCTGCCACTTGAAATGAACAGGGGAGTTTCGATACTGGCCCAGCATTAGCAGGTTATTGCTGCAAATTACTTGATATCTGCTTTCTTTCACATAAAGAGGAAATTAGGCAATCAATTACCAGAAAAAGGTGGACTGTGGGATAAGAGGGGCAAGTGTGCCCTCTGCTGGCCCCCAGGCCACATGGCAGGGCTATACTCCACCTCAGGCCAGGCTGCCGGGCAGCTGCCTAAGGCCCCTCCCTCCCTCTCTCCCTCCTTCCCTCCCTTCCTCCCTTTCTCCCTTTCTTCCCCTTGGGATAGGGGCTCACTGGTCAGGTTCCTCTCTAGACCTCAAGGACTGCCTCCGGTAGAAGACAGCTGGCACTGGGGCTGAACATACACCAGAAGGAAAACGAGGAAAGAAAGGACTTCAACCAGCCAGATGAAGAGGCAGCTCCCGCCCGAGGGAGGCCCTGCATGCCGTCTAGTGGTCTCAGGAACTTGGGTTCCACACCTCCTGGAGCAGAAGGGCTCTACCTTAACACGTAGCAACCTCTCCACCTGTAGGACCTACGGCAGCCCTGGCCAGGGCTCACTCACCTGCACCCACCTACCCTGAGTTACTAGAAATGAACCCAGAGCATTCTCAATGAGCTACTGCACAGACCTTGTTTTGTTCTGTTGTTTCTTTTGTGTGTGTGTGTGTGTGTGTGTGTGTGTGGCCAGCTCAGCCCACCATGGGGCGGTTCTGGCTGGCATGTGGTGCTGGGGGATTGAACCGCGGTCCCCGTGCTTTGCTAAGTTTGTTCTAAGTAGGTGCTTTAGACTACTAAGTCATCTCACCAGCCTCTGTTCTGTTGTTTCTTTTGAGACAGTACCTCACTATGCTGCCCATGCCTCACACTCATGATCCTCCTGCCTCAGCCTCCAAGAATCCTGCAACTGCAAACACATCATCATGCCCAACTCAGGCTGCACGCAGCTCTTGGGAAAGCAGGGAGGGAGCCTGGGGGAACCACATGCTCAGTTCCTGGGAAGAACCAGGCTCCACCCAGCTCTCAGCCCTGGGAGACACTTGTCCTCATGCATCTTCCCAACTGATGCTCTGGCCAGCCAACACATCCCTGTGACCTCTACTGCTGGGACAAATACCCAGGCAGCCATACCAAGATGTAGGTTCAGTTCTCAACCCTCTCTGTGCAACTTCTACAGGCTCTCTGACCCCTTGAGAGGATGAGGATCTGCCTTTAGCCTGACATGACCTCCCATTCAGGGTCCCCTGACTCAATGTCCACTCCAGCCCACCGGACACTTATGAGCCCTGACGTACCTGAGGACACTGACACCAGTCCCAGCTCTCTCGTCTAAGGAGCTTTCAACACAACCAAAACAAACACCTTTTTCCTTACTGTGGCCTACAAGAACCCTCTTACAATCTGGCTCCCTACCACCAGCAGCCTCACCCCTCCCTGATCCTAGACGACATGCCAGTCATTCAATCCTCCTTGTGCTCTTAGCACATTGTAGCCTCAGGCTCACTGCTACCCTCACCTGTAAAGCTGAGCACCATGTGTGCTCAGTTCCTTCAGGTCACTTCTTTTCAACTGTCACCCCTGGGGTGCCTCTCCCACTTCCACACTCTCAGAACACATTTACCATGCAAAAGCATCTTTCCGGCCTGTTTCTAAGTACTTAGGTGAGCATTTGTTTCCAACACTAGCATACAGCTCTGTAACCCCTGGAGCCAGCCCATGGCCTAGCCTCCAAGGATCCCAAATTGTCCTTGGTAGATGGGCAGATACGCGGGAGGCCTCCAAAAGCCCTCCCCCAAAACGACCATCAAGCAATCACCACGTCTGTCCATAATTACAAGCCTATTCATTCCCCTACCCCAAGTAGAGAGAAGTCACAGCCCCCTTCATCGCCCATAGCACCCAACCCCACCTGCATACTGCTCGGTAGATAAGAGCTGGTAACCTTGGGACCCCATACTCCTCCCTGGCTGCCCCCTTGGAGAGTCAGAGATACTGTTCCAGTCCCACTGGCAAAGGGCAGCCTTCACTGCCCCCAGGCCTGCACCCCACTCTGCCCTAGGCCCAAATAGGAAACAACCTAAAGAAGTAAAAGGTTGGTCACAGGCACAACCAAGTGAGGCTGACCCCAAAGTAACCCTGCAGCACTTGCACCTTGCCCCGGCAGGACGCTGCTGGCCCTCCACTTCCTCCATCAAAGCTCAGCTGGTCCTGCTCACCCGCCAGAGGGTACCTGTGTACTATCCCTTCTCCAAACTACCCTGTAACATCTTACTATAGCGACCAGAAACCTCCTCAGCTTCTCCTGTCACCTGAGAAGAGCCACACTGGCCCCAGCACAGAGCCAAAGTTAGCAACATAGGGCAGCCAAGAGGCCAGCATCCTCTACCCCACTTCTTCATGATTTTGGCTATAAGAGTACAGGACTCTTTCATCCCTATGCCCGGGACCTAGACGCCCCTCTCAAGACTAGCTCTACATAGGCTCTCAGTACCCCTCCTCCCAGATCCTTCTCCAGAACCTTCCTGGGCAATCAAGGATGTTCCCTCAGTGCCACGCTCAGCTCAAGATCACAAGGATCAGGGCTGACTCAAGACTATCCAGGTCCAGTCCTGTTGGCACTTTATCCTCTCCAAACTTCACACACATCTGTCTATACTTGCCCAAAGGAAGCCACAGGACTAGATGGCCCCAGGCAAATCCTACTGTCCATGGCAATGTGAGTACCCAGTGAGTACCATCCCAGGGCCTCCAGGTCCACCACCAGACATACTCAAGTATGCCAGCCTGGGAGTGGCTCCCTCACTGTCTCCTGGCACCATAATCTTCCAATGAGAAACTAGGCTGTCCTGAAAGGGACCACACCCATTACTCACAAAACAGGCCCCATCTGTTCTCTCTGAGCTCTCAGGCTCACACGTTTCCGATGGCACCCAGTACCATGTGACTCAGAAAATGAATAAAACGGAGCCCTTAGGCTGGCTCACAATTAAAAAAGGCTGCCCTGTTGGTCCCCGGCTAAGGTCAAAGGCCCTCAGGGGAGGCAGACACTGGAAGCCCTTATAGTATAAAGTCTGAGTGGGCACCAACCTTACTTCCCTCACGAGGGATGGGGATACACACTGAAGAATGGGCAGAAGAGGCTACCATACTCCTGCCCAGATGCCTATCCCCCACCCAAACTACAGGACACTCCCAACCCCTCTCCATCCATTAGCATGGCTGCTCACTGCCCATCAGGCAGAGATCCCTCAGGTAGGGGCTTGGGCCCCCTGACAGCACAGCTGGGAGGATGACAAACAAGGCTCCTGATGGACCAGGAAGAGCCACAGCTCAGAGCTGTGCTAAGCCCATCGCGAGTGTCTCCTCCCTGGCATACCTTCCTTAGTGGGGAAGTGGGCCCGGCTCGGCAGCAGGCGGCACAGCCGATGCCTGGTCACATGCATCAGGCCCTTGTTGGGGGTCTTCTTCAGAATAGGACTGTTCTTCACCCGGAGGGCCTGTCTTCGCCGCAGGCTGAGTTGGTTCTTGGCGGTGGTGGCAACTGAAGGGCTGTTCTTCTTGTCTCCAGGAAGGCTGCAGAGACAAATGGCAGGCAACTACCAAAAGGCTCACCACGTGGCTCTCTACACAGCCATTTCCTCACCCAGATCCCAGGGGGTAAGGGAACAGATCCAGAGGAAAGCCAGGTCGTTCCAAGCTCCAGGGTCCATCCCACGACCCTGCTGTCCCCACTCAGACTCATCACCCAGCTGTGGCTGCCACAAATGTTCCCCTTCCCTCTGCAGCCAGGCTAAGGCAACAGCTAAATCCACAATCCCAGAGGACCCAAGACAGGGGAAGTCCACTATGCCCGCCCCCCTCATTCCCCAGGCCAGATGAGCCCCTGCATAGGATGACAGGAAGGAGCAACCCTAAGGAAGAACTGCCACCAGGTCCATGCACCATCCCTAGCCTGCCCGCCCGCCTGCCTGCCCGAGGGATGCTCCAAGGCTCCTTCTCCAAGCTCCGTGGAAGAGACGCTACCAGCATGGCTAACGCAAGGCCACCCTCCAGAACCTCCAGGAATAGGAGGCAGGCCAAGCAACCGAAGACAGCGCTTGTCTTCAGACAGTTGTCAGAGCTAGAGAGAGGCACCTGACCTGGAGCCAAAACCAAGGTCAGACAGCAGAAAGAACTTCCTGAGGGGGACTTGCAGCAAGGAGGTTACTTCTGGCATGACGTGCACCATTGTCTGATGGCACAGGCAGGACCTCTGCCCCAGCAAGCACAGCTATCTCCCTTGTTGTTAGCTGCTGACCTGATGAAATCTCTGATCCCAGGTCAAATACTCTGGTCTACGGCTGGTGAGATAGCTCAGCCAACTAAGTGCCTGCTTAGGCAGGCGCAGTGGCCAGGGTTCGATCCCTGGCACCACATGCCACGCCAGCCCCGCCCCGGGCATGCTGAGCTAGCCACTGAGTCCAGGTGTGGTGGCGTGTGCCTATAATCCCAGTGTTAGGCTGAAAACAGGAGGACCACTACAAGTTCGAATTACATAGTGAGACCTTGCACGCACGCGCACGCACACGCACACGCACAAATACTCTGGTCTACAAAGTCATCTTTGAGTCTCCCAATTATGCAATACTCTCCAGGAGATATTCAGCGGCACAAGTGTCTACCCGCCAAGAGCAAGGTCCTGAGTTCGATCCCTGGTACAAAAAAAGTCTTACCAATAATGCAACAGTGGGAGATCAAAGAGTAACATGCACTTGCAAGGCAGTGGCCGACGTTGGTCACCTGGCCACATCCATGCCTTTCCTCTCCCAATCTGTTCCACCAGCACCCCCAACATTCTTTAAGTGGGGTCATAAAGCCCAAAGACCACACACCCAGCTGCTGCCCATAGGAGCACAAATGAAACAACCTTCTGCCTGAGCCTGGGCAGGGTACCCAACTATGCACAGCAGAAAGGCCTCAGCACCCTAAGGCAGTACCCAGAGCCCCCAGTCACCACCCAGCTCTAATGTGTGGCCCAAAGCTCTCGACCCAAGGGGCGTTAAACATGCGCATATGGCCACCCCCTCCACCACACCCTGGACAGATCCCATTCAGGGTGGTTGCTCCATCGGTGTCTGGCCTGGCACAATGCCATCCATCCTCGAATCTTGCAAATCCAGAAGAGAAGCTATCCAGTGACTTCCTGGTCTCTCACCATTAGAAGAAAGGGTGGAGCTAACACCACAAGGGCCAGGTCCCCACCTTTACCCGGCTAGGGCCTTGAGCAAGCTTCTGAGTCACCCTGAGCCTCACCTTACACAGCTTTAAATGACAATGGTACTTTCAATTTTAGTCCTACTACCTTCCACCTCCTCCAACGCCCCTTCTCAGGAGTGGCACTGAATGAGCCTTCACTTCCACGTCACTCCTCCCTAGAGGTGGGTCCTCCACAGACCAAGGAGAGAGTACAGGTGAAGGAGATAACACATCTGCCCAAAATCCCACAAGGCTAGGACCAGCTTCAGCCCCACTCTTGCCCACCCAGACAAGATGCTATGGGCAGCAGACATACATACTTGGTATTGCCCCGCCTCCGTATGATCTTGGTGCGGCTCTTCACTTTGTAAGCCGAGAGAGGGGTCTCCCCAAGGAGGGACTTCAAGTTGCTAGGTCCCACTGCTGGTCTGTCCTCTGGAGGGGACCGAGATGGGACCAGGGAGAGCTGCGAGGCATGATCCTTGCTGCCAGCCTCTGAATGCCAATGGAAAGAGGAAGATGAGGAGGCAGAGGGGCTGGAGGCCTTCCACTTGTACTTGCTGGGGGAGGAACCAGGCTTGGAGGACATAGCTGGCTTCCTGGGCTTGGACTCTGGGTTGGCTCTGGGCTGTGGTTTCTCTGTTTTTCCAGCTGTGCCCAAAGCACCCCTACTCACAACCTCCAGAGCTGCTCTGGGACTGAGAGCCCTCCGAGTAACACGAGGGCTCTTTGCTGAGGTGGCCACCCATTTGTAGTTGTTTTTCCGGAACTTGTTGGTCCGACAAGACAATGGTAGTGAGGGCTCCCGTGTCTGCCTGGGTCCTAAGGCTGGTCTGGCTGGAGCCATAACTGAGTCTGAAGCAGTTGGCTGATCTGAGAGCTGAGCAATGCAACTAGTTGCAGAATGAGGGCCCACCTTCTGGCGGAGGGCCACCCCAGTTCCAGGAGGCAAAGCAGAAGACGGGAAGTGTGCCTTGACAGCAAGTGCACTCTCACTGACTGTCCGCCGGGGCCTTGGGGGACTGTCACTCACACTGCTCACAGACTTCACTACCCGGGGCTTGCCAGGCTCCTTTTGGCAAACCAGAAGTGAGCTGTCCCCACTGCAGCTCCCCCTTCCTCTTCCTGGCCTTGAAGGCTGCAGCTGTGCACCAGTGGGCTCACCCTCAGCCTTATGAGGTCCTGGATCATTCCAGGGGGTGTCTTTATACTCTTCCAAACAGCCTGGTTGGACCTGTGAAGTGCTCGTCGAACCAGTCTTTGACGGCGGTTTGATCTTGATAACCATGTTCTGATCTGCACTTAGCTGGACTTGTCTCTCAAAAACATACTGCTGCGGGTCAGGGTCCTGGCTACTCTGGGCCCCAAGGCCTGTCTGCACAGCGGGGCTGCTAGCTTGGTCTGAGCATCCTAAAGGCCGGTTCACCAGGGAGTATTTCTTACGCCACTCAGGCCCACGGTGTGAGGAGAATCCCCTCCGGTTTTGACGAGGGTAGCAGGCGCCAAAGGCCCTGCCACCGTGGTAAGCTGGTGGCTGCCATCGGGAAGCAGCTGAGGGGCCTGGTGAAGATGCACTGCCATGGAGATTTTTATAGTCATCGATCAGTTCTGAGAAGACAGAATCACAGCTCAGTTAACCAGGGATGTGAAGAAAAAAAAAAAAAGCAACAACCATAACTACCTTGGAAAAGAATCAGCAGGCAAAATATCCCCAGACTCCTGAGAGATTGAGAGGCAGCCCATGGAGCCTGGGAACCAGTGACCACTCAGCCCAAACCCCATAGGCCTGTCTTTTCCTTAAACCTTTGGATTGTCAGTTCTACTTCAATCTTTTTGTGCCTGCTTATCCTGAAAACACTGACCTCTAGTGTGACAGTTTCTATTTACTAGCTTACTGGGGCCACCATTTTTTGAGAGAAAGCATCACTTCATACGCAGAAACAAGCCAGACCCCAAGGTACGATGCCTGGACAAAAAGACACAAGTCACCACAGAGGCCTTCTGGCTTGCCCACAGATGGAAGAAAGTGCAGCCGCACCTTAATCATCTGGACTGAGTATAAGAGAAGTGATGCCTAAGGCACTCTGGGCAACCGAAAAAAGAACACTGGGCACACAGGAGCCAGTGGCCTGCCAGCCGTGACACTGTCTCCTACTGAAAACAAGTCTGACACCACCACTACTCTTCTCAGAGTAGTCCCCGCTGGTTGTCCTGGAGCAAGAGGTCAAGAACACATTAGCACAAAGCACACAGGAACAAGCCAGTAGGCAACCTCCCCGTTCAACACCACCACCACCCATCCAAACCGGAGCTACCTCAGAGCCAGCGTGAGATAAGCTCAGTAAAGTGGCCCACAGCCACATCTGGATCTCCTCCATGTGTACTTTCCAATCCTCGCCAAATCTACTCTTTGTGGGAATAACTTTGAAAAGATTGGAGATTTTGGTTGTTGTTGTTTGTTTTCCCTTAACGCTTACAAAGGGAAAGACCCACCTTGGGTCTAAACATTTTAAGGGGCAAGCTGGGGCCTGGGCAGTCGTTCTGGAATCAGAGGGGTGTGTGCGCTAAATGGCATCCAACGCGGCAGCAGGGCACCAAACCAGACCCAGCTGAGCTGAACCGGACCGGGGACTGAGCGCAGCTGTCGGGCGCGGGCCGAAGGAGGGCGCCAGCGGGCGCAGCCTCCCGGGGGAAGGAAAAGGGTCTGTCCGCGGGCCCCTGGGCAACGGCCCCTCCCACCCCGCCGCCGGCCAGAAGGTTAGAGCACGCCGCCGAAGTCCCGCGGGCGACCCGCCCAGGCCCACCGGAAGCTTAGCGGCCCCACCCCGTCCGGCCCTACCGACGCCACGGTCAGCCGGCCTTCGAGACCTCTAGCCAGGACCACCGTTTCGCGGAGATCGTGGAGAGCAAAGAAGGGGACACGCGATCCAGGCCCAGCTGCGGCCAACCCACCCTGCAAAAGGCGGATCTGTCGCCGCAGTTGTTCTTTCTCCTCCATCTCGGGAATCCGCGACGCCTGGCCAGGCCCCCAAGACGTCATCACTGCGCGACTACTTCCCGCGGGCGGAATTGGGACCGTAAAACTCAGCGCAGAGATAATTGCCTGCCGATGGTCAGCTGGCTGCAGAGCTACGCCGTCGCCCAGGCAACGCCGGCGGGGGCGGGGCATCGTAAACGAGCGGGGGTGACGTCACGAGGGAGCACCAGGAAGTGGTGCGTCCACGGGCTCCGGTTGTGCTCGTGGGGCTGCGTGCGGTCCGTTTCGCGCCGCCCCTCTGGTGGACCCTTCGGTCCTGGAACAGCGCGCTGGTTGCGGTGAACCAAGAAGGTTCCGTGACGCTCTTGCTGAGGCCAGATGGACGAGAACAGTGAGGCCTCTGAGCACAGGACTGGGTTGTGGATGGAAACGCAGTGTTAAATGTGTGGACCCTTGTGAGGGTGCCGAGAGGACACGGTATGGAGGCTCCTCAGAAAAGTAATGTGAGCCGCGTGTGGTGGATTACTGGAGGCTGAAGGAAGAGAATCTCAACTTCGAGCCCGAGGTGGGCCATTTGGCGAGACTTTAATAGGAAAGCCGGCCTTCGTGGCATACCCCTGTACCCCAAGCACTGAGGCTGAGGCAGGAGGATCTCAAGTTAATTGCATAGCTTCAGGGAAGCGCTTATTCTACCGAGCAGTTTCCGCGGCCCCTTGCACAGCTTCAGCGACTTAACCAGACCCTTTCTCAAACAAGGGCTGAGGATATGGCTTCATGAGGGAAAATAAAGTAGAATTGCCCAGGGATCCGACAATCCCATGTCTTGAGTGTACACGCAAAAGAATGTGGAGCACCAGCTCAAAACATTTGTGCATTATTTTTTAGCAGTAATCAAGTGGAAGCAGGGCTGGTGAGATGGCTCAGTGGTCTGGGGCACCTACTTAGAACAAGCTTAGCAAAGCACAGGGACCGCGGTTCAATCCCCAGCACCACATGCCAGCCAGTCCCGCCCCCTGGTGGGCTGAGCTGGCCCCACACACACACACTTAAATAAATAAATAAAATTAAAAAAAAAAAAATCAAGTGGAAGCAGCCAGCCATACACAGCGGAATGGATACACAAAATATGCTATATACAAACAATTCAATATTAGTAGTTAAGATTTTAAAAGGAATGAAGTTCTGATATGTGCTACAATGTGGACAAACTTTGAGAACTTTATGCTAAGTAGAATGAGCCAATCATAAAAGGACAAATAGCGTATGATTCCACGTGTACTAAATAACTACAGTAATCAAATTCTTAGAGACAGATGAGGTTCTCCGACTCGAGGGAGAATGAAAGCTTGTTATGTCGTATGTGCTGTTTTATTGGCGGTGGCAGCACAGCCGAGGAGCAGAAATAAAGGGAGGGAGCCTTTACTGAAGGCAGGGAGATGGAGCGGTCCTCTGACCTGAGAGGGGAGGCTGAGACTGTATTGACTTGTGCTAGGGGGCAGCGTTTGAGGGACAGGTTCAGTGGCACACAGGGAGCCGACTGGGGACTCCCTTGTGTTCCGGGGAAAGGTAAAAGGAAGTTGTATTTAGGGCTGGAGTGGGAAAGAGAAAGGGGTCATGGGGAAGATAAACTGTTTTGGGGATTGAGCCAAAACATTGGATCAGGGCCAGGATAATTTAGCAGTTTTCATTCAGGCTGGAACCTATTGGTATTTATTTTACTACATTAAAAATTGGGCATCTCTGCACAATAAGGAATGTTAAAGGAAAGCCCTTTAGGCTGACAGTGGTATAATGTGGCAACATAGTTCTACAAAACAGAAAATTTCAGAGCCGGGGAGATGGCTCAGAAGAGTAAGTGCTTCCCTGGCAAGCACAAGGGCCTGAGTTCAATCCCCAGCTCTGAAAAAAAAAAAAAGGAATTTGCTTTTCAAAATAGAAAATTTCATTTTTAATTTTATTTATTTATTTGTATTTTAGGGAAGGGTCTACAGAGTGTTCAGGGTCTCACTGCTAGATCAGACTCATGGTGAGCTGCCTGTTTACAGCCTCCCAAGAGCTGGGATTACAGGCACACACCACCACACCCAGTTTCAATTGTCATCTCAGTACACCCCGGGGGTGAGGCCAGCACAGCAGGCCCCAAAATAGAAAATTTAAAATGATAATAGGTATAAGAAATAGAAATTTAAAATTGGGCATAGTAACATGACTGTAATCCCAGCAGTTGGGAGGCTGAGGCAGGAGGATTGCTGGGAGTTCAGGACCAGCTGGGCTATAAAGTGAGCGTAAGGCCAATATGAGCTACATAGGGAGACCTTGCCTCAAAAAGACAATTTTTAAAAAGAAACAAAAAATACTGGTAGTCAGTACTACTGCCCCAAGGCTTTTATGACAACCCAAACTTGTTTGGTCAAATCTTAGAGGCAATGTTGGAGAAAGCCCAACCTCCTACAAAAATTCAATTATTACAGTATATAGATGACCTTTTAATCTTGAGGGCCAGGTGTGGTGGCTCACACCTGTAATCCCAGCACTTGGGAGGCTGAGGCAGACAAAGTGTGAGTGTAACCCTACTCAACTTTCTGGGAAAGAGGATGACAAGTTTATTTAAAAAAAAAATACAGTATTTTTTTAAAATTAGGTACTTAGGACACCTAATAAAAAAAAAAAAGCCCTAAAAGTGTTATCCAGTAGATTGTTTTCAAATAGCTCACCAATCAAAAATATTCCAGGCCCTTCTTACCATGAACAAAGAATTAGACAAGCCAAAAATGGTGCCAAAAGTTTATTTGAAAAGTGACAAGAGAAACCAGCTCTGCAGAATGAACTTGGGCAGAACGAGAGAAAAAGAAGATAAAAGAAAAAATGAAAGCAGGTGCTCAATCTGGGAAATGCAGCGGGGGCTCTCATGCGAAGTCGTGGTAGCAGGCTCTCGTGGTGTCTCACCTCTTCTATGCTGTACACATCCCACGGGAGCTAGAAGATCCACAAGCAAGGTTGTGAGAAGTATTTGCCACTGTCCTAGCATCTTGTAACTGACACGTCCAACTCCTGTCCCCAGCCAGCTTTGCTATGCCCTATCTCCCATATCAAAAAGGGTCTCAAAAATCAGCTTGCCTCCTCCAAAAACAAAAAGAACACAAACATTTTTTCTAAGCTTGACTGGCTATTCCCATTGGCAGATTGACTCCTATGCTCGCAAGACAAAGGTCCCTCTATGACTTGTATGAGGCTTTCACGGGACATTTAGACACAAATCATACAGGCCTTGTATCTTAAAAAGCAAACAAGCACAAAATCTAACTTTTACAGCAATCCTCAAAAAAGATTCAAGGTGTAAATTAGTGAAAGCAGGCTCTCGTCACAGCCCTGGTTCTAGTCCACCCATCTTGGGAAAAAAAAAAAAAAAAACAAAAAACAAAAAAAAACTTTCACTTGTTTGTTAGCATGTAATACTCTTATAATCCTGACTGAAACTTGGGAAACTTGTTGCTTTCATCTCTAAACTCCATTGTCTAGCCAGGCACGGTGGTATATGCCTGTGATCTCAGCACTTGGGAGGCTGAGACAGAAGGATCACTGTGAGTTCGAGGCCAGCCTGAACTACATAGCAAGACCTTATCTCAAAACACCAAACAAA